GTGCTGATCATTCTTTCTGGATCATCCTCATCAATGTAATATCGCGCAAGCGCAACTGCGCGACTCCGTAGTGCTTCATCTGCGCAAAATGGATTCGCTCCGGCATCCTATTCAAGCATGAGTAAACGGCATGATGCGAACAATCTTCCGTGTCTTGGTAGAGTGCCAGGTCGCCAGTGCCGAGAGAAGTAACAACAACAACGTGCCAGTCAACGGCTTTCGCTACGATGAAACAGCAAGTCGAAATGTGCGTAACCACCTGCGGTCTGTTCTTGAAAATCCGTATGATGCCACTTCGGTGGTCGGTTTTCGCTTTCTGCCAAACTAGTCGAAAACCAACCCTTTTAATGGTGCACAACATTTACTCAAAACTACTACTCATATTTTCTTTCTGAATGAGCATCGTTTCGCAAAAATGCTTCAAGCGTCACCCATCCGCACTTGTATGCAACGTGTCATGTTCAGCGCATCGTCTGCGCATGAACGATCGTCCTGGTTATTTGTCACTTGATGGGTGTCACTGTCAGTTACAGTTTAAACAAGCCAGATAAAACGCTGTGGTTCCATCGTAAACGTGGAGATGATCACCTCGACCCTGCAGGCGATCACGAGACTCCGACCAAAGATGAAACATCGATATCAATCTGCAACCGATCTCCTTGTAACGAGAAACGTTATCAAACCAGCGGATGCGGAAAATGAGTCAGGGATCTGGCACTGCATTTTTCCAATTCATGACGAGGCCGAATTCTCATTTCAACGAGATACCGCAACAGAACGTGCTTTCAGGATCAATTATTTATTACATCGTTAATCCATATGGAACTATCATTTCATTTTTTCTTTTCCTGAAACTGCGCTACAAAGTCTTTTCTAACAGCACGCATTTTCCTCATAATGCAACGATTGGATTCCCTTCATTACGGGGCAAGAACAGTTCGCCATTCCATGTGAGCTGCGGTCATCTTAAATGCTGAAGCGTCCGATGTTGCCTTGTAGACAGCCGTTTCGACCTTCCTGGAATGACCCTCTGGTAACAAGTATTCAACATTCGATTGTCTAGTACATGAAATAAGGCAAACTGATATTTTTTCACACTGCTAATGAGATAGGACGTCGCTATTGCCGGAGAAAGTTATCTCTGAGAGTCAGTTATTCTTCAACTTGAATTCAATTGCGCGGTAGTGTACTGGGTTGCAGAAAAATGGCAACCAACTCAACTCTTAACCTTCTGATGTGCTCCAATCTGTACGGCTGTACTTAACCATCGTTCTCAATTTTTAGTTGAAACAGCCAGTGTACCATAAAATAATGTCTACCAAAGGAAGCGAATTGCAAATAGAGCTTGGTGAGGTAAAACGGCGTCTAAGGCAAGGAAAATCCCCATAGTTTAATCTTGCATAGTCGATCTGACACGTTAGA